AAATGCATAGTTAACTACGGTCAATATCTCGGATAAAATGTTTTTTTTTATACAACAACTCCAGTGTCATATGCACTTGTCGACAAAATAGTCGGGAGCTGACTTATGATGCTTACCACCGACCAAACACGATAGCTGTCACTTATGCACGCAAGTGGGCAATTTTCTGACTATCGAATGAAAAATCTTTCGATAGCAAAGTTGGCGTCGAGTCATAATATCGAAATTACGGCCAAGTTTACTCGGTATCGAGAACCATAACCTATCCAACCAGTGTCGTAGCATACAAGCTGCTTTCTCGTGCGAGAAGGCCTCCCCCCTGCTTCTCTTGCCTCTTGTCCCGGACAATAAGTCGATTTTGTCATCTTATGCCATCATCTTATCAGCCGACATTACCCTCACTAGGTTTCTGCAATATTACTACCTGATTGTTGTTAGACATGGATCTCCGTCAGTCTGGAGTCGTGTAACAGCCAGCAACATTCTTAAAGGCGTTTGATCAGAAATAAACCACATCCCATACATTCGCGGATCGAATAACAATCGTGATAGAAACAACTCAGATTCTAACGCTTTATAAAATCTTCGATTTATATATTGCTAAGAATGAAAACAAAACGATAACGATATCGTAATCGAAGCTTTTGGTCGCTTGCTGCTCTCATAGGTGCAGTGTGAAATGAAAAAAAAAAAAAATCTAATGAGAAGAAATAAACTAATTTGTCATTGTTGTTGTTGTTGTTGTTTAGCAAATGTTCACTATTAACATTACACGTTAAAATACCGTTTATTTTTCTTGTCTTAATAATAAATTATTTAAAAAAAAAAAAAAAAAAAAAAAAAAATGCATTTCCCTTAAAACGAATACGCAGCTAAATAATATATAAACGCATTTAAACAGTTAATCTACTATATATAACTATAAATGTCTTTATACAAAAATTGAATAAATCTGATCGTTTTAGTTATGTTAGTTGGTTCGTTGATAAACAATGACAACATATTATATAGTAAATATTTATATATATATATATATACGTATGTATATTTAAAGGTACAGAGGGAGACACTCATTGACTTTCGCTATATGTTAAACTAAAAGATATGAATATTCAATGGTTTTGCACCACTACAACTGAACACGTAAAGAACTTGATTGTGTGTAAGGTTAAGAGCTCCACCAATTGGAGAGCGCCAAAAAGAAGGCGAGTGAGTGAATAAGTAAATGAATACAATGTTTGATTGCATTGTATGTAAGCAAATAAAGAAATAAAACGGGTTTCACACTTTGCGTTGTAGATCAGAATGAAAAAAAAATTAAAATAAATAAATAAATACATACATACATATATATATATATACATACATACATAGATATGCATATGTACACGTATATATATAAATAAGTGGTTATAAGATATAATCATTTATATATATTATATATATATATATATATAGAGTAATGTATGGCTTAATTAATACCTAATGTAGATAAAGATTTTTGTGTTTTATATTTACATATATGCATTGAACATACGCGTTAATATATACGTATGAACGTATAAATAAAGAAACTTATTTAACTAACATATAAAACTCACCGCTTTTCGTGCTAAGCAATTTTCATATATTACCAATATGTGTTTGTGTGTGTGTGTATAAATAGGTTCATGTTTACGTCTATTGATTATCAATTTCTTCTGTTTTTTTTTTATTTTCATACGTACTTGAGTGTACTTGTATTTCGAATAATGATGTAAAGTGCTTAGTTGTCATTTAATAGAATCTTCGTAAACGTTTGCAATGAACTGCCTGTCTATTTGTCTGTCCATTGGTCTGTAATATATTTTGAATAAACAACGGCGGATTTCCCTTTTATAAAAAAAAAAAAAAAAATACTAAAACAACAAAAAAAAAAAAAAATCATAGAGGTGCTCACTGTCACGGTATACTGATCACAAGGGGTCGCGCAGCGCTTTTCTAACTTCTTCTCCGTCATTGCACTTGAAACTGGGAGAGAGCGATTTAATTAAATGAGAGTAATCAGCGTGTGTGGGAAAAAACCGACACTTTTTGCTCTTACCTCTGCAAAACAGTAAAAGGGATTTAAAGAAAATCACTTCATATTATAATCTGCTATCCTATCGAATTACTTTCAAAGCTGTTCCCCTTTTCCTTTCTTTATTTTCCATAAAAAATTCGAATTTATGTGTTCTTTGGATTCATACTAACATTTTAGTATTGTTCTACTTTTTCTCCCAAACTCTTTTCGCATTTGATTTTCTTATTTGTCCAGAGCGAATTGATAATAGGAAAGTCTGGAAATATAACGTAGTTTTTATTTTTTATTTTTAGACGTGTTTTCCGTTTGAAAAGGTGATTTTCAGTTTGATGACATGGTTGTCCGGAAGTATGATATGCATTGTCTTCTGGGGACAATGAATTTTCTTAACTGTCTACTTCCGCTTGAAAATGTGATTTTTATTTTGATAAATTGATTGTCCGGAAATATGATATACATTTGATGATATCGTTGTTCGAGAATATGATATATAATTTCTTTTAATCGCGATCGAAAATATAATTTGCATTTCGATGACTTTTCTATTCGAATATATAGCATATGCTTTATTTTAGAATCTTTTTTTTTTAATTGTTTTTCACAATTGTTCCTCCCTTCGTTTATAAATACGATTTATATTTTGAAGATTTTTTCTTCACGTTTTCAGTTATTCATATAGATATAATCTTTATACTTGAAAATATGGTTTGCGATGTGATGATCTTTTAAGAAGGAATTCTGTACTATTAGTAGCCATAGGAACTGGTTCTATTAATTTTATTGCGAATAAATCTATTAATTTTAACACGAACATGCAAAGGTTGGTCCGATATTGTACAATCGCTTAGGCCTAAAAACTGCAAATCACTTATTGTATGTATTAGAAATGCATTTATTTGAAATTTCTTTACTGTATTTTTTGTTTTTTTTGTTTTTTTTTTTTAATTCTATACTTCGGGCTGAAATAACTTGTTAGGGTTGTACATATGCATACAAACGTGAAAAGATTGACAATGAGAGCGCTTTCGGTCGATGCTGTAGCAACTTGCTGTTGCCGCCGCTGCTGCTGCTGCTGCTGTTGTTGTTGTTATTGCTAATGTTGTTGCTTTTAAGCCTTTACATAGGAGATCGCACGAGACTTACAAAATCGACCGATCACAGTTCAAAAAGCCAAGTTAACTAAAATCTCTTCTGTTGCGCGATGACGTTATAAACGATCGGTTGATTTAGTTGGTAGCACGCTTGCTCGCTTGTTTTTTTGTTCGCTCGTTCATTTATACAAAACGATCGGCTATGAACGCTATGTGTTAGTTTTGTGTTTTTTTTTTTTTTGCTTTTTCGGATGTTTCCCTTAAAAAAAGAATTAAAAAAAAAAAAAGTTCAGTTCAGCGAAACCTTCACTGGCTTAATAAACAAACGGCATTTTAACGGCGGTTTGATAGTAAACTTAAGTTAACATACGGTTGTGTGTACTTTCCCAAGATTGCATGTACTTGCACTCTCAGCTCTAACGAGCCGTTTTTCTTTTCTTTTTTTTTTGTTTTTTTTTTTTTGATTTTTAGCTTGACTGGCTGACTGACTGTTGTGCCACAAAGGCATGTAAATTGCGAAGCCCTTGATTTTAAGTACCAGATACGTTTATTACGTTCTTTTAAAAGACGTTCCGCAATTTTAAACGCGTTCCTTTTTTTTTTTTTTTTTTTGTTATATCAATTCAACGGTGTACCTCCCAAATTGTGAAAACGATTACGAGGCAATGTAATACAAATGAATTTTATAATAATAACAACGACAACAACAACAATAGCAGCAAGTGTTAATATTTACATTCAATACAAGTGTAAACGAAGCAATAAAATATATCGATGTGTGTGATTATATATTCTGAGATGATGAAGTGAAATGTTAAAGAGCAAATTTTTCCAAAAATGAAGAAAAATAATAAATAAAATAAATAAATAAAGTGTTCGATTTTACTTGTATAGGTGTAACACATGCATATGTATATATATATTTATATACCTGTATACCTGTATATATATCTATATATATATATATATATATATATATGTGTGTAAAATTTACATAACGTTTCTTACGAAATCTTGCAAGATTTTTTTCATTGCTTCAATCCCGTTCAAACGTTATAGTTAATACATTAGGTAGTCTAAAAAATATTAAGCTTTTATATTTAATTTTTACAAAATTTTTTGATATCTATTTCATTAGCTTCTCTCATATATATTTGGAATATTTAAGACACTCGTACACTTATAGGCTTAATACTTTTTAATCTGCCGTGGTGTATATAAACTTTATACCAATACAGAAACGTCAAATGATCTAAATAATATACAGAACAAGTTTTTTGTTTTTGCTTTTTCTTATTGCGTATTGCCGCCCCCTAAAAAAACAAAAAAAAATCCCCCATTAAGCTACGTTAAGATCTTCAACTGCATTTTATGGATTTTTGTTTATTTATAATTCGTCATCTTTGGATTTTTATGTATAAAACTTCTATAAACAATAAACATGGACGTACGTACGCTCGTATGTGTTTATATATATACATATACATATATCTATATATATGTATATATGTGTATGAAAAAAGTGTTTAGTTGATTTGCTTATATATACGTGAATATGTACGTATTAAAAGCTTGTGTTAATACATTTGTGACGAGAGAAATCTAACGGAAAAATGCAACATTGAACAAAATGCTTTTGATGGCCCTAGTATCTCAAATACCAACTCAATTACAGAAAATACTGAAACAACAGCAATCACCTTTAGAAACGCAAACAACGCAACAACAAGAAAAACAGCAACTAAAGCAAAAGCAAAAATCTAAACCTCGTCGTTGTCTTGAAGCTTTTTATTATTATTATTATTACTACTATTATTATTATTATTATTATTATTATTATTATTGTTGTTGTTGTTGCTGTCACTGCGGCCACCATTCATACCGTTGCGAAGTCATCGCCGTCATTATCATTATACTCATTATTGTTAACAACAACAACAACAATAACAACAACAACAGCAACTATAATAATAACAAAAACGACAACAAAGCAAATACATCGGCCAAAACAGCAGCAAAAATATCAACAACAACGATAACGGCTACGTAAAATGGAACCCTCATATGATCACGAACATCCACATCATCATCATCATCAACATCAACAGCAACAGCAACTACTAACAAATTACAAGTAATACAATATTTACATTTTTCCCATGCTAGAGGTTTTTTTTTTTTTTGTTTTTTTTCTATTTTGTTTTATGATTTTTTGTTATTTTTGCCATAGTTTTACTATTGCGACGGCGGTGGCGGTAGTGATGTTGGTGGTGGTGGTAGTTTGGTTTCGCGACGGCAGCAATAGCGGCGGTAGTGTATAGAATTGTTGTTTGTATTATTGTTGCCGTTGCTTGCTAGTGGTTGTTGCTTTCATATATATATATATATATATATATATACCTATATATATATTTTTTTTTTTTTTGCAGTTTAATTATATCCAACTGAAGCGTAGATCCATATCTTTAAGATAATAACCATAATAAATAGAAGTGTATCTGTCTTGCAACAGTGTGCATATATTCACATGTGTACATATGAAATGCATAACGAAAGAGAGAGAGAGAGAGTGAAAAAGAGGTAGATAGAATGTATATGTATATCGTGCGGTATGTACGTAGGTAAAGTTATATACTTATGAGTATATTCGTTGCATTTTATGCATTATTTTGCAATTTTCAGTTTTGTGTGTGAGATGCGTGTTATTCTAAATGATGTAAATTTTCGGTTAACGTAGCCACAAAAGCTAATAGCGTACAAAAGAAAAACGAACGGTAAATTAGATTTACAGTTGAGATCCTCCTCTGCTCAAAATAAAGAATACATATTTTTTCATTTAGTTGCTTTCAACTAACTCTCGGATATTTGTCGTCTTAAAGCGTTTCTTGTCCCTTCGTATAGTCCGTTCGTAAAGCCGTTCGGACATTACAGTCACTCCATTTCTAATTTTCTTCCTACTTTCCCAGTACATCGGTCTGATCATTTCTTCCTTTGTTCATGATCCTCTATGGAATGAAAAAGTCGTAGTGTTTTTCTTAAGGTGACAATCACCATAAAGGGGAATACTATTCTGTTTCTTGTGGCCGCGTTAAGGAAACCTTTGTTGCCGTTTGCGTTTTGAAGTTTGAATAACATCTGAGTCAAGCTTGATGTTACCCCTTGCCGGCAAGTCAAGAAAATGGTCGGTGAAAGTAGAGTAAGGTGTTAGTGTATCATTTAAAAGTTTTCATCTCTCATTTTTCAGAAATATTCTCTGAAAAGCCCAAAGGAAACAATTATTGAACTGCACTGCCACATCGCTGCACATTTCTCTTATATGTTTTTTATTAAAAATTTTGAATGAAGTAAAAGACAAATGTTATAGAATTTAACTGCACGTTAGTTGTTTTTTTTTTTTTTTGCCAATTGATTTTGAAATCGGAAGTAATTCTTGCGAGACAACTGTGTTATACTTTTTTTTTTCAATCTGTATCCAGTCATGGCTTCATGAATACAGTACATGACGTACTTTGGTGATTGAAATTTACTAAGAAAGCGGAAGAATATTTTGAAAAAAAAAAAAAAAAAATCCCCATAATATCAGACGCTATAACCGAATTACTAAGTTGTGTGAGAGTTTTGAGAGGGAGCGATTTATTGGCAGATCATAGATCATATCAACATGTCCGACCAGTTGGCACAAACGAAAATACAAAAACATTCGTCCGAGAGGCCAAGTAAATTTACTATCCGTCTGTACGGATGGTATTAATATTTTACGCTTGAATTGCTTATGTATTCATGCTTATCTGGCTGAATAGGAAATTTAAAAGAAGCCAAAAATGAATGTGGCCTAATTTATATCCCATAGCGTAGATTCGTTAAAAGGCCCGAACAATTTTCATTCAATATCACTCAAATATCAAACCCTGGATTTCCTTTTTAAGGGTTTTTCTAACAATTTTTCCAATTTCTGGTCTCATGTGGAAACATTCTTTAAATTCTTTTGATTATAAAAAAATTTAAAAAAATTAGATATATTTAATTGTTCACTTTTGTCGGCCTGTTTTATCGTCTGTCCGTCCGTCCATGGGGTTCATTACAGTCCTGGTTGCAAAAGTAAAAAAATTTCACCTTCAAGTACATGTCCAGTAAATCCACAAAAGAAAAATATTCAGCCACACCCACGAAATATTATGAAGTAATGAAATTTCATCTCTCTTTAAAATATATATATATTGCGTATATCGGAGATTCGGCCACAGACGAATACAATTTCCTTACTTTTTGACATTGATATTATCAAGTTCACGAAACAAGATCATTTTCGAATTCAAAGTATGGACTCGATCTAATTGATAATAGAAACAGTCATTACGTGCATACCTCCTTTCTACAGCAATTTCTTCGAATTTAATCAATTCTACAATTGTTTATTATTCCCATGCTTTGATTGTTTGTGGACGAACTTGAAATTTTATGCTAATCATAAATGCATAAACACAGCCAATGACACCCTCTCTAGCACTCATTTCATCATGAGAGTAAACACAAACATTTATTAAAAGTTAAAAAGAAATTGTTATTTGCAAATATAGTATCTTCATAGGGCAAATACGATTCCGAAACCCAAGGTATTAATATTTTTTTTGATATAGGATCAGCATAAGGATCAGCAGCCTATTTAATGTAGATTTAAAAAAAAAACTATTAATTATTTCAAAAGAAAAGCAATCACAATTGAAGCGTATTTGCCTGATCAATAATCTTTGCCGAAACGCCATAGACGCACAGATGAAGATCCGAAACTTTTCGTGATCGAGATGGTTTTGTTTTTCATTTTGTTAGCAGTGTTTTGGAAACAAGAAGTTACAGGAATGTCGTTGTTTTTAGAGCTTACAGGCGTGTATGTGGAGAGATCGCAAGCATTTTCAATTCTCGGCTTCTTAATCGATCAAGAAATGTGAGCTCGAAATTTCAGCCACTTATCTTCATTGTTGCGTCTGCCGCTATTCCATAAAAATATAGTTGTCTCGAAAACCTAAGACCAGGTAGAGAAAAATTCTTTAAAGATAAAGTTAAAGTCGTTTTCATATAACTAAAAAAATCAACAATAATTTTCGAGTTTTACGCGCCCTATGGCCGTTTTTATCAGGAAGCCAAAAATTAATCCGCATAGTTCCAGGGTAAAAGTGATCCCACAGCTATAAAAACAAGGGTTTCCTTGTGTCAGAATTGCCATGGACCGTACAACCGTTCATCATAGGTTTTAATAAATATAAGCTGTGAACCGACAAGCAATTGAACCATAAGAGAAACGCTTGATTTAAAAATTGCGTTCAATTGTTGACTGATTTCAGAACTCTATACGATAAGCAATGGCAAATTTTTCGCTGGTAGTTGTAAGTAATGCGTTGTTTAATTATACACTTAAAAAGTTTTGATATTAGTTTCGATATTAGTTGAATGTGTCAGTCGGTCATGCACTTGGTTTACAAACTAGCTGGCGTGACGCTACAAACTGTTCACCTTACGATAGATTGATAAGAGAGTAGATCCTCAGACACTTGTATGAATGCATTAAAAGCCCAAAATGAAGGCATGAAAGTTGTTAGCGTGCAAATGATAAAGAATTTTTTTTTTTTTTACTGATCGAGAAAGACGAAGAAAGAGAAGGAGAAGTAGTGGACTTATCTTCTCATACCCAGCACTGAAGGACGCGAGTATACTCCCGGAAGAAAGCTTCAGACACCCTGTCAAGTATATATATTGTTGAGCAGCGTGAAATTACGAATTAATTAAGCCATGTCTGTCCGTCTGCGTGTTGTATGGTATTTATTGTTGCCACTCCCCTGGTCGCAAAAATAAACGCATCGACTTTAAATTCGGAAGTTTTTGTAAACAAATTGGTACTGAAAATAGGCCAAATTGGTCGGAGCAGATGGCCGCAGTGGAGTATAAACTGAACGCAACTCCATTTTTCTTAACAAAAATTTGTGTGTTTTTGCTCGTTACTCAGAAATTGTAAAAGATAGAAGGTCGAAATTTTCCATATCTGCTTTACGAAACTCTCGACTCTTTACATGCATGGACTTATTTATCATAAAGCAAACAAGATGGAATGTTCCTATCAAATGAAGATATATTATCTGCCTAAAAATGGGTTAATTCTAAAATGAATATGGTAGAGACCACCACCTAGTGGATCAACTTTTTCTTAATAATACCAGCGATATAGGTATCAAATAAAAGAACTTGGAGAGTAGAATGTAAAACGCTTTGTGGTGGATATGCGAGATTCGGCTCCCGTTAAATACAAGTTTGTTGTTTCCAATAATATGTTTAATCAGTAATATATCTGGTCAAGAGAAGAGAAAGAGAGGGAGAGGGAGAGAGAGAGAGAGAGAGAGAGAGAGAGAGAGAGAGAGAGAGAGAGAGAGAGAGAGAGAGAGAAAGAGAAAGAGATATGCAGACAATAACGTTTTTGTGAGTATATCATTACAGAAAATAAGAAGAATTTGGAATTCAAAGCCCTCGGCAAATCCCCGCAATATCGCACAAATATATACGTGAAACATAAGTCTTCTAGGGTAAAACGTAGGTACGAGGGGTATGGGATCTAACGAATGATGTATGAATGTTGTCTACTTATTACTGATGAACTTTGCAATATTAAGAAAATATGAAACATTAAGACCACAAGTAAATTCTCCATATCTCATTTCGATTTTATTCAGAAATCTAAGAAACTTTATGTATTTGGGGTTAGCTTAAGGCTTACATGGTATGTTCTTGAATTACTTCATTTTGCGTTAGAAAATTCAAGCAAGAAAGCTAAAATTTGTCGCGCAAACTTTTAGGCAACAGAAGAACCATTTTAAGCGATACGAGTAAAAGCAAAATCAGAGAGCTAAGTTCAAGGCCCGACTTTTAATTTAATGATGAAAACGAATTTGTTTATCATTTATTCTTTAAAATTTCATAGCAAGAACGGGGCTCAACTTGGATGAAGAAGAAAAGCATTCAGGGTTAATGTCCCTTACGAGATCTGTGAGAACAATTTTTTTTCTACTAACGAAAATTTTGTGATATCTTTCTGGAGGATAACTTGAGTACCCTAATTTCTCGGCATCTAAACATGAACGTGTTTCGCCT